TTTTACTTGTTTATACTTAACATAACAGTGCAAGGACTGAATTCAACTTCAACTTTATTTAAACACGGTACTATTTCACAGTATATTAAAATATATGCAAATAGTTTTGTTCTCTGTGATCTACTTTCCGCAACTGGAATTAAAGTGCGTCAAGAAAATATGCTAAAATCATTTGTTTCATCATTAAACAAGGGATCTAAACAAACGGCTTGACTGCCAAGCTTTCTCAAGGTCTCAACTTGCTGGACGCGGATATACAATTTCTAACGGGATAACAACAGCAATAACGAAATTCTTTACCGTACCATGACGAAGGCGATATGGCTCAGAAAACAACGCCGGTAAGACCTGATAAATAAGACTTTCACCGAAGCCAGTTGGCAGAACGGCAAAGACATCTTGGGCCTTGGCTGTCAACAACAAGCTTTCGAATGCACGACTTTTGCTGTTCTTTAAGCGTCGTGTGTCCAAACTTCGTCAAAGATTTTGATAAAGCCCTTTCAAAATACTGTGTGTTTGATTTATTTTCTGCCATACAGCATATTAAACAAAAGAAATTCGAAGAAATTCGACAATACTATTACGATAATCACAATGCAATTTGATACATGCGTTTGACCTTGCCACATTGACCTAGCAATTTACAAAATATTGTTTATGTGAACTTCCAACCAATCAAAATCTTTCATGATGCTGATCAACCAATCAGATTTCCTGTCCACCAGATGGACGGGAATCCCACGGCACAGAGTAGAGACATACAGAGACGTAACTAGTGTACCCACTTTTTTTGTGCACATGCTCGGCAAGTTACTAGATGCATGCATCTGATTGGATGACGACCTGATGACGACTCACTTTAAACTTGCTGAGCACGCGCAGTTGATCATTTTTCGCCCGGTCGCCTGAAAAAAAGTGGGTACATGATAACGTAATCTTCCGCAGTGTTTACAACGGTCAGTTACGTCTCTGTATGTCTTATCTACTCTGTGTCCACGGTTTAGATAGGTTTTGTGTCAGGCCCTATTCTGTGATTAGGGCCTGAACTTCAGGTTAGCCTTTTTGCGGCCAAATAACTCGATTTTGGATTTTTAATTCTTGTTTGGCCTTGAAAAAAATGTTTGGCCTTTTGGCTCTATTTTGGCTTTTTTATCAAGTGACAGGAAATATTTTCACTATTTTTTAGTATAATTTATTATGAAGGAATGTTAAACCATAAAGCAACATGTAAGAATGTAAGAATTGGGTATCGTTGACAGAGATAACCTAATTTTATTGACACTCAATAAGAACTCAGGAAATTCAGCCAATCGTAAAGCTGAAAAACTAACCAATGACAACATGGTAGCTACGTCTTCGCAGAGGTCCGTCCCGAAAAATGACAAAAGTGTCTTTAAAATTTGAATTTTTTATCTATCAACATACTGCAAAGTCGAAAATATTGATAAGATTTGGCTCTTTTTTGGCTTTTTTCATAAAAATGAAATTTGGCCTTATTTAGTAGAATTTGGCCTTTTTTTAAAGGTCATTTGGCTTTGTGCATGCGCGAAAGCCTACCAACCCTGAGAATGTTTGCTGCTGAATGTCGTGCATACTTCACAGTGGTTATCCATGGATTTTACTTGTGAGAAAATTTATACTAAGATCTTTATAAATCTTTTTAATACTTTGTAATGTTTTACATTTACTTAATAATGTTATACATATTCAAGTACACGTTTCGATACATACGATTGTTCCAATTTAACAATTCTGTTGAAAATAAACAAGTGATAAACCAAAAAATATATAATTTCCTCTTTTAACCGACATCGATCAGTGACATGTTTTAAGTTCAGCCTACCCAGCAATTTTATGGAATTTGTCCATTATTTTCAATCACAATGTATGCTGCCAAATACACCACACAAATTATCAATGTCATGTGGCCAGTAAAACAGACAGATTCTCGGTATTCTTGAGGTATTTCCCCCAAAATTTCACCATTACGATATTTGTCTAAATTGTCTACATAAACGTTGAATCCTTAATATTTCTTACCTGTGTTTATCTTCCTTTAAATTTTAGTGTAAAATGTGTTCTTTTTACCTACATTACGATATACATCTCGACACACATTACCTAAAAAGTAACTCGATCATGCGATGGCGATGTCGCTCGTTCTTCCGTGGTTTCACTCTCACCGCCTCTATGTCAGTGGCAGTGTGATCAGGTTTTTTCAGGGGATTTTATCATTTACCACATCCGGTTTCATAAATTACTACATTCGGTCTAAAATTACCCATTACCCTCTGCCCATTACCACGGTGCCATATTTTCCCATATTTTTCCCAAAAGGGAAAAGGAGGACCACCTCTTCAATTAGGGTTCAAAAAAAATTTTCCGGACAAATAACAAGTAAAACATGGCCTGAACCAGTTTTTTTCACCAAAATCTATAAAATTTAGGGCTTTTTCACCAAAATCTGTACAATTAAGGTCTGGAAATTTCAAATTACTACAACCGGTCAAAATTGACGAAAATTACCACGGTAGTTCTGAAATTACCGTAGTAATTACCACAAATTTCCAATTACCACAATCCTCCAAAACTGACGAAAAATTACCACGGTAGTAATGAAATTACCACATCTGGTCACACTGGTCAGTGGTCACCGCTCTCAATGAGTCACTGCGACGTTTAATTTTGGCAAGTTTGCATGAATTAGACTATGTGGGATCGAATAGCAATTTCCTGTCACGCAGGCTAAAAGCAATTGGGAAAGCCCACTGGGAAAGACCCATATTCATCCCGCAATTGGAACTACTGGGTAACTCCCTTCGATATGACATGGCAAAAAAAAACAACGATCAAGTGTCAAATTAATCAAAATAGAGCTATTCCGCTTCTTTGAATAATTTAAAATGTTCTTTTTGTCTATTATTTGAAAATAGTAGAGATAAAAATCATAGTCTATCAAGATATGATGGTCTGGAAACTAAACACAAGTCATTGACTCATTGTATTACGCAAGATGATTGGCGTAATTATCGAAAGGGTGTATTTAATTTGCTAGTAAGTAGAACATTTAGCTAGCGTGCTACAATATAGGATGAGACTCTGATTTTGTGCAAAACATTTTTTTGTATATTTATGTTAAGTAATGATATATCTCTCAATTCCAGCAGCTTTTTTAAGAAAATGTTAAAAAGCGACGGAGATATAGGAGAAAATGCTATGACCCGCGCAAGATAAGTCAAGTTGTCTGCTTTATATCAAAGCGAATACAATAGCTGTCAAAAAATGCGAACACACTTTTCTTCTTTGGGAGTGTCCCTATATGTTGTGTGTCGTGGTTTAAAAGTCGTGTGTCGTGAGTAAAGGGTTAGATGGAAAACACGGAGTCGGAGTTCCGGAGTCGGAACCCCGGAGTCGGAGTCCCGGAGTCGGAGTCCCGGAGTCGGAGTCCCGGAGTCTGACGTCATAAAAATATGGAAAACACGGAGTCATATGGAAAACACGGAGTCTGACGTCATAAAAATATGGAAAACACGGAGTCATATGGAAAACACGGAGTCAAATTTGGCATGTAGTAAAACACTGACTACCGGAACACCGGAACACCACCGGAACACCGGAACACCACCTAACCCCAACCCTAACCCCTAACCCTAATCCTAACCCCAAACCCTAATCCTAACCCTAACCCCAAACAAAATGGTGGTGTTCCGGTGTTCCGGTGGTGTTCCGGTACTCAGTGTTTTACTACATGCCGTCAAATTTTGAGGTTGTTTTATTGAATATTTTTTTGGCCGCATTGAATATTTACGGTGTAATTTACTGAATATTTCAGATGTTGTATTGAATATTTAACAAGGTTATTGAATGTTTTTGCGAAGCTATTGAATATATTTCGGTAATTATTGAATATAAAATGAGTGTATTGAATATAAAATTAGTGTATTGAATATAAAATGTATGTATTGAATATAAAATGTGTGTATTGAATATAAATTGTGTGTATTGAATATAAATTGTGTTTATTGAATTTTGCTACAATCCGGCAACCATAATGTAAAGGTATCTCTTGTAAATTCATAACAAATATTTAATTTTAAACAGTATAATAGCCTGTGGTTTTTAGCTAGCCCATATCTTTGTTAATTGTGCTATTTTGTGCCTTGAAAATTAATTAAATCCTTTGTATTGCTGCAAAATCACTGCAAACTGCTTCATGAAATTTCAAGGAATTTTCAAGGAAATAACACATACAATCTAAGGAATTTAGAGAAATTTTGATGACAAAAATGAGAAATTTTGATTTTAAAAATGGAAGCACTGATTTTAAAAGAACAACCAACTAAACAAGAGTTCAATTATGTCCTTATCTAATGGTAAGTGCTGTTCATGTTCAATACGTGTCGTTGCGTATTTGACTCATATGACTCATATATACGATGTGCTGAGGGTTCAATTGACAAATATTAAGACATACATGTATACAACCTCGTACCCAGGGTTTTATCTCCGCTCCCCTCCCGCTGCGAAAAAACCCTGGTCCAGGCTGGTCACGTGCTTCCCAAAATATGGGAAGTGTCAATTACTTTACTTGAGGGAGGGGTGGTTTAGGTTGACATGTAAACACAGGCTAATAAAACACAGTATTCTTATATAATTATATTGTCAGTATTCTAATATAATTGTTCGCCCTAATTAGTATTCTTTTGTACTTGTATTTTAAGTTGTACGCCTCGCGTTTTATATCTGATAAAACACACTCCTACTCGTGTTTTAAATAGTACATAACGTGAACTTTTAATATACAAGTATAAATCGATATTAATATAATTATAAAATGGCTTTTAAAGGGGAAGTCAAGTCCGTAATGTAAACAAACGGTTTGTTTACATTTTGAACTGCTGTATTTTTTAAAATATGATGTACTGTCTGAATATCTATTAAACACCATTTTGGTTCGTTATGCTTCTACATGAATATGAAATAGAGTTTGTGTTCAGAAAAATTCGAAACATTCCAAATTTGGGCAATGTTTACCTCAGAGGGCCCTCTATTGTTATGCGCAGAACCGATGCGCAGAACGGACTTGACTTCCCCTTTAAGTGTTTATTTCTTGTCCAGAAATTTCCATATTTCTTGTAAAAACAACGCGCGAGACAGCGAGCGACACACTAGTGCCCAGTCTTCAGTTTGTTCCTGACTCTTCCACAGTCCCTCGTTACCTTTTAGTGCGGGAGGATATGCCTGTTCGCGGGTTAGGCGTTGACAGCTACAATGCGGGCGACTGGGGACGAGTCAGAGTTTGTTCTAAAATTGGCTCAGGTTTCTTCAGTATATCGTCTGAGATCAGTGTTAATCTGTCAAAAATCCCCACCCTCGGGCCACTTAGAAAAAAAGTGTCAGTCCAAATCCCGACCCATGGGACCACCTGATTGATCAAATCCCCACCCTTTGCCCGACCCCCGCCCCCTCGGGGTTAACATTGATAGGTGCATAAA